CGGCGGTGGTCTGCATCCCTGCCCTCACCTCCCTGGTGCAGGGGACCGTCCCCTCGCTGCCCCAGAGCACACACACAGGGGGGATGGCATGCAACTGCTTGCTCAGACAAAATCCCTGGGCAAAGCCAGCCCAGGGTTTTCCCCCTCTAATGTCCCCAGACCACAAACGATGCACAGACCAGGAATTATTCACAGGGATGACACAGAGAGCCATTTCCAGCAGCACTGGCAAAAACCCTGATTCACAGGCCCAGGGCAGACATAATTTGTTAAATAAACAGCCAGCTGCAAACGTCCTGCCCAGGACCCGCAGGGTGGTGGCAACAGGCGCAGGGGCCCTTGCAGGGCCCTCGGGGCCGGGGGACACACGGGGTGACCCGGTGAGGCTGCTCGGCATCCTAATGCTCTTCCTCGCTGAGGCCCACGAGGTGCAGCCCGGCCGGGGCAGGCGGGCGGCCCGCGGGCGCCCGCGGGGGCGGGGGAGGCAAAAAAGCCACAAGCGTCCCTTTGTGAGCGGGAACAGAGGGGCTCTGTGCGCCCCGTGTGCTCCCCTCCGGCTGCCTGCCGGGGCTCTGCCGGGCTGGGAGGTGCAGGAGGGCGCAGGGGCGGCTCCCGCCTGCTGCGAGGAGAGGTAACGGGATGCTGCTACCACCAGCGCCCGCACACTCCCAGGGGATGTGCGCCCACCAGTGTGAGCAGATGGACAGACAGACATCATCTCCAGTGGTGGCAGGCAGCAGCCGGCCAACACTCTCTTCTTACTCTGCACATCTCAAAGCAAGGTGGAATAATTTCCATGAGCACTACACTGAGACGCCCCAGAAAGCGGCACACACAGCTCAGGGGAACTCCCCCGGAGCTGCTCCCTGCCTTTTCCCATCCCTCAGACTGGAAATGCTTTTCATTTCAGCAGGGACGGCTACAATTCCCACTGTCGAGATGATAAAAGGCTTTGCGGATTTCCCAGCTGAGGCAAAGGGGCTTTTTCTTTTGAGTGGTGGCGGGGGTTTTGTTCCCATGCAAAGCTGCTCGCGTGGCTATCTGCCACTACTAGCAAGTTAACTTAACCCTGCCACAGCAAGAAGGAAGGACAGAGGGAAGGACTTGGAGGTGCCAAATTATTCAAGTCTGCTGCAGTGCTCGCTGGTGGGATGGATGGTCCCACGGGTGCTGTAGGCAGGGTGAGAAGAGTAGCATAGCCCCAGGACAAGGACTCTGAGGCCCTGCGGCGAGAGGGAGGAGGGAAGGGATGCCCTCAGCACCCTTCTGCAGGGCGTTTCGCCTGCCCCGGGAGAGAGGAGTGGGGGTTTTTGGTCTCCCCAGGGAGGGAGCTGGGAAAGGGAGTGTCTTTTACGAAGACTTGGGGCTCTTATCCCCCTCCTCCGGCTGCCCCAAACACCTACCGGGTGGGATCCAGGAAAGGAAAGATGCCTGTGGGCTGGCGGGGGAAGCCAGCTGGAGGTGCGACTGGATGAAGTCACATTTTCCTCTGGTGACTCAACAGGCAACAACTGAGCTCCCAGACAAGGAATGGCGGCAAAGCACCTACTTGCAAGCTCCCTCCCTGCTCAAGATCCCTCTGTCCATCCAGCCCCCCGTCTGCCCCGTGCATCCCTGCCGGACTCCTGGGAGAGGGGAGCCTGTGGGGACCTGCAGCTGAGATCACTGCCCCCGGAGTAATTCCCTCTGCCATGCTTTGCTTCATCAGATTAACAGGGGCATTGCGAGCCAGCAAAACACAGAGGAGGAACAACAAAGAGATAAGGTGCACAGGCTTATCTGCTCTTCCCGCTGCTCTTTGTCTGCAACCTGGGGGAAAAAAAAAACCAACCACCCTGAGCTCCCTCTGTATTTACTCTATCAACTATTTCCGCTCCCGACTTCCTCCCGAGGCTGGCCTTGGGAAATGCGCCACCGGCACTTCCCTCTTTGCTTTCATCTCCCAGCAATTTTGATCCTGCCCCTGGCTCTTGTCCAAGGCATGGCACAAGCGCAACACCGCTTCGGTTTGCCCCCCGGCGCAGCTAAAGACACTGCCCGGGCAGGTATTTTTTGCTTAAAACCATGTGTATTCAAGCTAAAAAAAAGGGGGGGGGGGGGAAATGTTTATAAAGTTGCCTAGAATAGCCCCAAGCCTTGTCAAATTGAAGCCCGGAAACTGCCCATCGGAGGAGAAAGCTGGGAATGCAAAGTCCTTCTGGCTCAGGCAGGGACAGGGTGCTGGTGCCTGTGGCAGCCCCAGCCTGTCGCGCCGCAGCACAGAGAAACCCCAGCATGAGCAGGGGCTGTGTTCCCCGGGGGGGGGGCGGGGACGGGAAGAGCAGAGGCGCTGGCGCCCCCCTGCCCGGGCAACCCCCCCCAGGGACATGGCTGGGGGGGGGGAGCACATGTTCGATCCCTCAAGTTAAGGCGAGAGCCAAGCTTGTTTCTCCTCCCCTCATTCCCTTCCCGGCTCTACCCCTCAGTCCTTCAACCCGCCTTAGCTTGGTCCTCTGCTCTCCTCTTAACTGGGCACCCAGGCCAACGCCACCCCCGGGAGCTGAAGCATGCAGGTGAGGGTAGAGATGGGAGCTTATGCTCAGGAGCAGCAGCAGTGGGCGTTGGTACATACAAGCACTGCTTAAATGACTTGTTTTTCATTGCGTGTGCTCTCAAACTCCATGGGCACGAGGTTGTCTTCTGTCCACTATTTATTATCCCCCTGAGGAGGCACACTGAGCTCTGGGATGACCCAGATGAGCTGTCCTTGCTCCTCGTGTCCCAAAAAGCACTGCCCAGAAGGGATTTAGAGGCTGGTGTCGGGCACAGTAATGCTGGTGACAGGACCAGCCCAGGCTTTGTGGCCAGGACAGACCGGTCTTTGCTCTCCCTCACCTTTGGTGGTGTCCAGAGAGAGGTGTTTTCTCCTGACCCAGGAGAGAGGAGAGCTGCTGCTGCTGCCTGAGCCCCTGGTGAATGCGATGGGACGTTCAGAGACTGGGCACAGGGGTAAAATTGCACATCTGCAGGAGCGCCAGGCTGCGTTGCCCTGG